GGCATGGAGGAGATGGGGATGACAAGACCTACATGTCTCCTGGGCTCATGGAATCTATAGTCTTCAGGGAAGACAGACCTGAGCAGATATTTCACAAATATTTATGAGTTATGGTAAACACTATGAAAGCAAAGCCTGAGGGAGCATGGAGCTTTAGGAAAGGCTTCCCTGAAGCCATTTTAGCTGGGATCTAAAGGAGAAATAGGAATTTGTAGGTTTGGGGCCTCAGGGAATAGCAAGGAGGCAGGTAGGAGGTATGGGAAGGGAAGTAGGGTTTACCTGGGGAGCCCAGAGCAACTGGAGTAACTGGAGCACAGCAAGTGCAGTGATGGGAGAAGAGGCCCCTCAGAGGGCACAGTCATCACCATCAACATTTCAGCGGTGACTCTAGGACCTGCCTGGCAGGATCCCTGCCGACACTGTGGCAAATGGCATTGATACCTTGGTTGTCCACAGTCTGTTACAAATTTCTGGATTTGGAAATCATTTAAGAAAAAATCTTATGTCATTGGTAGTTGTGTCTTTGGGCAAGTCATTTAAGCTCTCAGAGCCTCAGTTTTTCTGAAATGAGAGTAATTGTGTCTACTCCATGGGGTCCGTGACCTCTGCCAGGTCCCCCTGTGATTGTTGTTGGAAGTCCATCTTGCTCATTAGACTGAGGGCCTGAGGGAGGGTGAGTCTAGCCCACCAGTGTACTGCTGGCTCCTGTTGCTGGGCCTGGCATGGAGTGAGGACATCTGGGAGGGCTTCATAGACAAGGGAGCCCCAGGGCTCGGCTCAGAGGACAGGCTAGATTTGAGGGTCGGGGAAGGGCTGTAGAGGTGTGGACATACCGACGTCTGGAAAGAGGCCAGTGAAGACCGAAGTGCAGAGATGGTAACAACAACAATCACAACAGTAACAGTTACAATTGTGCTGACCTTCCGTGCACCCTCGCCGTGTGCCGGCCACTGTTCTACATGCTCTCCATACACTAACTCATTTATCCTTGCAGGAACCTTATGAGGTAAGTACTGTTGTTATTCCCATTTTACAAATGAGCAAACTGAGACATGGAGAGATTAAGCATTTTGCCCAAGGTCACACAGCTAACAACTGCTGGAACCTGGATTTAAGACCAGGCATTTGTGACTTCAGAGTGTAAGAGGCAACGAATGCAGAGAAGTGGGAAGGGCCTTAAATGCTAAGTTAGGAGGCCCATCTAGACTTTATCCTGTTGGCTATGGGAGCCGTAGAAGGCTTTAGAGGGAGGGAGTGGCAAGGCTGTTGTATGCCCAGGAGAGCTGGCATGGCCATCCCTTCTTCCTACAGAAACCATCCACGGAGCAACCCCTGTACAGCAGCAGCCTGTGGGGCCCGGCGGTTGATGGCTGTGACTGCGTGGCTGAGGGCCTGTGGCTGCCGCAACTACATGTAGGGGACTGGCTGGTCTTTGACAACATGGGTGCCTACACTGTAGGCATGGGTTCCCCTTTTGGGGGGACCCAGGCCTGCCACATCACCTATGCCATGTCCCGGGTGGCCTGGTAAGAGGGCCCTGCTGGAAAATGGGGGTATGGGGAGGAACTGGGCAGAAATGAGGGAAACCTGGGATTTGAGATTCTGCTTCTGTGTAATCCAATTTGACAAATAGCTGTTGGCTGCTGATCCCACGTGAGGCCTGTGCTTGGCTCCTGGCTGTGGCCGTGAGTGAGGCTGGGCTTTCCTAGAGGAGCTCATAGCTCTGAGGGAGACACAGAGAAGCAGACAGGCCCTCGTGATAATACTGTGCCCGGTGGAAGCGCAGAGCCCTCCCTGAGGCCCGGGCCTCCCTGAGGAAGTGGGAGTCAACTACAGGAGGGGGTGGTAGGGCTTCCCTGAAGAAAGGAACAGAAAGCAAGTGTGGCGCATTCAAGGCTCTCATGGAGGGTGGCTGTGACTGGAGAGGGAGGCAGGGCTAGATCTGGGAAGGGCTTGAAGGCCGAGTGACATGCTTTGAGAGCAGCGGGAGGCATGGACCAGTTTGAAGCAGGGGCATAACACGGTCTGAGTTGCACTTTGGAAAGACCACCCTAGTTCCTGTGCAGACTGAAGACAACGGCAGATGCAGAAAGAGCTGACCAGTTGGGTGGCTGCTGTGTGACACAGGAAAGACTTGGTCTGTCTGCTTGCTGAGCCTAGGTCTTTCCATCTACAAAATAGGTGTAACAGTAGTCCTGCCTGCGCCACCAGGCTAGTCCTGGGATCCAGTGAGGCATGCAAGAGGCATGCAAGATGGGGGAGTCACATCCAGTGAACCCTGACTGAGGTCGTACGTTAGGCATCGTATGACTATTTCACCCACACAAAACTGTGTGGGGGTCAGCGTTATCACAGAGGGGTCATTCTTCTGAGGTCACACGGCTAGTCAGTGGTGAAGTCCCTCTTTGGGGGTAGGGAGAGGGCTACAGAAAGCAGGAGCAGTTTGCCCAGGCACATTCAATTCCTCTGCTGTGTCCAGTCTCAGGACTGTCACCAAAGCTGAGACCTGAAGGCTAAGGAGGAATTAGGTGAGGGTTGATGATGCAGGGAGAGAGACAAGCATGGGTCCAGGCGAGGGAGAGGACATGTGTAAGAGCCCAAAAGATGGCCATAGTGGATGGCCCAGGTGTGCGGGCCGGTGTGGCTGGGAGTGTGGCGGGAGAGGCGGGTAGGGCTGGATCTTGCAGGGCCTGAGAGCAGAAGGAAACTGCTGGCAGCTCAAGGGCAAGGATTTACTTTCAGAAAAGATGAGTCTGGGCCCTGGCTGAGAACTGTCTGGAGAGGGCACGAGCTGATCAGGGAGACTGAAGTGGTGTTACCTGTGGGGATGGAGACCACTGGGCACAAGAGGATGTTCAGAAGCTGGGCTCAGCAGGGCCCGACTGGGTGTGGGAACAAGATTGCCAACTGTTTCCAGCTCTGATGGTGGAGCCATTTATCAACATGGGTATGTAGGAGGAGAAGCAGTTTGTGGGATTTTTTGAGAGAATGGGATATGATTTTGTTGTGTTTGAAGTCCTAAGCCTGGGGTATGATGAATGTGGGCTTTGGAGTGAGAGTTGGGTTCAGTCCTAGTTCTACCACCTACTAGGGATGTGATCTTAGGTAGGTCACTTCTCTCTCTGGGGAACTGACTGATTACATCATCAATGCAATGGGGATGGTAATGCCTCCCTCATGGGGTTTTTGGGAAGATACAAATAGATAATATAAGTGCCTGGCATGATGTCTGGCACATAGGAAATGCTTGATACATGTGAATTTCTTTCCCTTGTTGGGGGTGGGGACCACATGGGAGTAGGAAGCAGTTGGGGAGGGGTCAGCAGCCTGTCCTTGCCCCTGCCCTCAGCTGAGCTCGGGCTCAGGTGAGAGCCCTCTGCCCAATCGGGCTGCGTCTCCAGGTACAGGGGCCTGCCAGCCCCATGCTGGCTACTTGCAGCACCCCTTTTTCACCCCTAGGGAAGCGCTGCGAAGGCAGCTGATGGCTGCCGAACAGGAGGATGACGCGGAGGGTGTGTGCAAGCCTCTGTCCTGCGGCTGGGAGATCACAGACACCCTGTGCGTGGGCCCTGTCTTCACCCCGGCGAGCATCATGTGAGCGGGCCTCGTTCCCCCTGGAGAACCCCAGCGGGGCCTCAGAGATGCCTCTGGGAGAGGTGGGGAAGATGGCAGGCAAGGGTACCCTTGACCAGGACTCTGGTGCCCACCCTGCCGCCCCCGTGCTCCACCTGTAGTGTTTCTGCCCTGTAAATAGGACCAGTCTTACACTCGCTGTAGTTCAAGTATGCAACATAAATCCTGTCCCTTCCAGCTGTGTCTGCCTCCTCTGCAGCGCAAGGGGCCTGGTCAGCCAGGTGTGGGGGTTTTCTTGGGGTCTCCTCTGGTCTCCTTCCACCTTTGTAAATATAATGCAATAAATAAATATTTAGGTTTTTTAAAACTGCAGCGGAATCTGGCCATTCGATTCACAAAGCAGCCTGGGCTAGGCCTGGTGCAGGATTTCCCCACCACACACTGATGAGCCCACACCCTCTGCCTCAGTCCTGAGCCCTGGCTGCAGCATGCGCCTCCTGCACTGGCACTCACCGTCTCTGACTCATCTCTCTCAACCTCATGGGCCTCCAGTCCTGGTGCCATAAAGAAGGGGCTGCTGTCAGGGACTGAGATGGGCAGTTACATAGCTCATAACTGGTGAATGGCCTTTGTGTTAGCCCAACACCCAGCCTAAGGCCTGACCCAGAGTAGGGGCAATGGAGTATTTAACACAGCTGTGGAAATTCATACCGAAGATACAGAGCCAAAAAATGGGTGTGCGGGAGGTTTTGAGTGCACCCTGCACCTTTGCTCTCCCTGCAGGTTGGCAAGGCAGTCAGAGTAAAGCAAACACCTGGTGGTCGGTTTCGCTTCTTTGGGCAGTGCCTGTTAGAACAGGGCTGGCCACGGAGTATTGCTGTGTCCAGTGCCGACAGCCCTGGCATCCCCTGAGACTGGCAGTGCTTATCAGGACAAAGGCTTCTTCACACCGCCGGGTTCCCAAATTATGCACCTGGGGTGTGTGAGCTGTTGAGCAAAGGAGTTCAGATCCCGCACAGTGGCTGCAGGGGAATCTAAATATTTTTCTGCTGCAATTAAAAGATTTGAGATATAATTAACACGCAATCAAATTCACCCTTTTAAAGTGCAGAAGCCTTGGCACGGTGGCTCACACTTGTAATCCCAGCACTTTGGGAGGCTCAGGTGGGTGATCACCTGAGGTCAGGAGTTTGAGACCAGCCTGGCCAACGTGGCAAAACCCCATCTCTATTAAAAATACAAAAATTAGCCGGCTGTGGTGGTATGTGCCTGTAATCCCAGCTACTCAGGAGGCTGTGGCAGGAGAATCGCTTAACAGGGAGGGGAAGGTTGCAGTGAGCTGAGGTTGCAGTGAGCCGAGATCACACCACTGCACTCCAGCCTGGGCGACTGAGCGAGACTCCATCTCAAATAAAGGAAGAAATAAATAAAGTGGAGAAGTCAGTGGTTTTTAGTGTATTCAGAGTTGTGTAACCATCACCACTATTAATTCTAGAATGTATTTATCACCCTAGAAAGAAATCCCATACCCATTAGGAGTCACTCTCCATTTTCCCCATTCCCAAGTCCCTGATGACACAAATCTACCTTCCATCTCTATGGATTTGCTTACTCTGGACATTGTATTGTGATGGATTTTCTATCTTCACTTGACTTTCTCTCTGGGTAAGCCTGGCCATCCTGCTTCAGTATCTCAGCCAGTCCTGGGAACTGCACGTGGCTTTGAGGTCATCTCATAAGGCAATGTGGCATGGTTTGGAGTAAACAAGGTGCTTTCTCAAAGCAGGGGTGTCTCCCTTTCCAGGGATCTAGTTTTTGGTATCTTGACAATAAATAGGCTGAAAGCTTGGGATATCAAGAGACTCTGGGCAATCAGAAAGGGTTACTCTACTACCCCATGATCCACCAAAGCCATGATTTACAGGTGTTACCATGCCTGTAATCGTCTATCAGACTCTTTCTGAGACTTCTTCCATCTCAGATTCCAAGCACTCACACTTATTTTCAGGGGAGGGACATAGGTTTTTCTGCTGCAACCAGGTATCTGCTGTGAAAAGCACAGGAATCCTGGGGAGATCTCATGGCTGGCGGCAGTGAGACCCAGGTGTAGCTGATTCCCTCTTCTGAGCAGGTCCACTGAGGGGACGTTCTGTGGCTTTTGAAATGACAGTGGCCATCGTGGAGTTTGAACAGATTTCTCACTGGAGCCTTTCTAGTGTTTCCTGTTCCATTTGCAGCGAGGATGTGAAATTTACTTTTCCAAGAAAGATATGCACAGAATTTGATGTGGCTTGAGGATAATAGTTAATAGTCATTTTTTTCCCAGTTGTTTTTATTTCTTGTTTCAATCTTTTTCTAAAGAGAAGAAAAAAGCCTGAAACGTGGAGAATGGTAAGGGGCTTCAGGCTTGTGCAGGTGAATCTAAGCAGGGGTCTCCCGGCCCCCTGGCTGCATGGGCACTGCCTCCTCTAAGCTCCCTGCTAAGCAACCCACTGGCAGTGGCTCCTCATGCCTCCTGGCTGCCTTGGAAGCCAGATGTTCCTGTTGGCCTCTCACAGATCCATCCTTCCCCGGGGCCTCACCTGAGGAACATTCTCTTCCCAATGCCTCCCTACAACCCACCTGTGCCTCCCTGAAGCCCCCCCTCTGCTCGTGCTCACTCTCTCTCATTCTCTCCCTCAAGGAGTTAACAGACCTGAGCTTCCATCTTCTCATACTCGAGCCTGGCCCCTTCTTCCCCTTTCCCCTCCACAGTCCATCCTCCACTTAGCAGCCAGATGCCGTACCTCCTGGGATTCCATGTCACCAAGAATGAAATTTAAAGTCCTTCGCCAACTGGCTCTCCAACTCCCACACTTCCCTCTCACACACTGAGTCCTGGCCACACTGGCTTCCTCCCTGTTCCTCAAACACTCCACTGCTGGGCATGCATTTACTGTCCCCTCTCTAGAATGATCTTCCTGGGTTATCTGTGGGCCTCACTCACTTCATTCAGGTTCTGTGCCAATGTTTTCTTTAGGTGAAGCCTTCTGGATCACCCTTTAGAAAACAGCATGTCCCAGTCTCTCTCTTTTCTCTTAACTGGTTTTCTTTTTCTTCGTAGCACCTACCACCACTCAACATACTCTATAACTCCATAATGTGTTCCATAACACAAGGGCAACTGTCAGCCCTTCTAGAATGTGAGCTCTAGGCTCTTGGAATAAACCTGATTTATTTTTTCACTGCTGTGTCCTTATCACCTAGAACGGAGTAGGTGTTCAAAAAGCATATGCTGGATGGGCAAATGAATAAACATGCTCTTAACCTGTCTGAATCTGTTTACTCATTTGTACAATGTGGCTGATAACTATATTTCCCTCAGAGGGTTATTGTGAAGATTAAATAAGAAAATGGGTATAAGGCCGGGTGTGGTGGCTTACACCTGTAATCCTAGAACTTTGGGAGGCCAATGTGAGCAGATCATGAGGTCAGGAGTTTGAGACCAGCCTGGCCAAAATAGCGAAACCCTGTCTCTACTAAAAATACAAAAAATTAGCTGGGTGTGGTGGTGGGCGCCTATAATCCCAGCTACTTGGGAGGCTGAGGCAGGAGGATCACTTGAACTGGGAGGCAGAGGTTGCAGTGAGCTGAGATCACACTACTGCACTCCAGTCTGGACGACAGTGCGAGACTCCATCTCAAAAAAAAAAAAAAAAAAGAAAGATACAAAAAATTAGCTGGGCATGGTGGCACGCACCTGTAATCCCAGCTACTTGGGAGGCCGAGACAGGAGAATTGCTTGAACCTGGGAGATGGAGGTTGCAGTGAGCCGAGATCATGCCACTGCACTCTGGCCTAGGCGACAGGGCAAGACTCCATCTAAAAAAAAAAAAAAAGAAAAGAAAATGGGTATAAAGTACTTAGTCTAGAACTTTGCACGTCATGAGGTGCTCAATAACTGAGGTTGAAAGGTAATTCCTGAGCATTTAGTGAGCACTTACTGTGGCTATAGCCCATGGTAGATGTTGGTGATGCAGAGGTGAGTCCCTCTGAGTTCTCAGGGAGCTCACAGTGCAGCGTGGTCACAGAGGACCTTGAATTACAGAGCCAGAAGTCCGAACTTAATTCTGTAGGCAGTAGGGAGCCCTCTATGCTTCTGGAGCAGAAGCAGCACGTCAGGATCTTCGGGAAGATTAATTGAAAGTGTATTCAAAATAAAAAACAAAAGGAAAAAAAAAGTATATTCAAAAGGGGTGGAGGAAGGAGACCTTCAGGGCTGGTAGTGGCATGTGCTTCCTTCACCTCTGCCCACAGTCTGAAAGGCAAACACACCCAGGAAACTTTTGTATTTATTTATTTTTATTATACTTTAAGTTCTAGGGTACATGTGCACAACACGCAGGTTTGTTACCTATGTGTACATGTGCCATGTTGGTGTGCTGCACCCATTAACTCGTCATTTACATTAGGTATATCTCCTAATGCTATCCCTTCCCTCTCCCCCCACCCCACGACAGGCCCTGGTGTGTGGTGTTCCCCACCCTGTGTCCAAGTGTTCTCATGGTTCAGTTCCCACCTATGAGTGAGAACATGCAGTGTTTGGTTTTCTGTCCTTGTGATATTTTGCTGAGAATGCTGGTTTCCAGCTTCATCCATGTCCCTACAAAGGACATGAAATCATCCTTTTTTATGGCTGCATAGTATTCCATGGTGTATATGTGCCACATTTTCTTAATCCAGTCTATCACTGATGGACATTTGGGTTGGTTCCAAGTCTTTGCTATTGTGAATAGTGCCGCAATAAACATACGTGTGCATGTGTCTTTATAGCAGCATGATTTATAATCCTTTGGGTATATACCCAGTAATGGGATCCAGCCAGGAAACTTTGAGGAGGTCAGAGACACAAGTTGTCAACTCTATTCACACCGGCTCAGAGGGAGATGGTGGCTCTCTGGGTGGGAGTCATCCCTCACCTAGGAAACCCACCTGCCCAAGCCATCTCATTCAAGCTGTAAGGGGAACAAAGGGGAGGCAAGAGGACGGGGGTTCCACTCATCCCTTTGCTCCATTTTAAACCCTCTTCCTGGCACCCTTCGGATAAACAGATAAGCCTGGGTAAATTCAATCAGTAAAATCATCTGATTGTCAGTCCTCTGCTGAAAGCCCTTCAGTTGATTCCCACTGCAATGCCAATAAAAGCTAATTTGCCTGAGACCACTGCCCATCTCTCCCACTTCATCTCATGCCACTCTTTTCTCACATTTCAGTTTCTCACATTTACTGACTTCTTTCCTGCCTCCAAGTGTCTGCTTTCGCTGTTCCCTTAGCTACTCCAGCGTTGGCTCATTCTCATCTTAAAGGCCTCAGCTTGAATGTTGCCATCTCAAGAGGGCCTTTTCTAAACATCCTGTTCAAAGTAGCCCCCACCAACTTATGTAGTCATATTTTACAGGAATTAGGTTCTAAAGACAATATTTAAGGTAAGAAGCATATGGTCAAACTTATCATTGAAAATCCCTTAGAAAACTATCATATTGGAGTCTTGTTCATCACACCCTCTTTCCTTTTTGTAACATGCCAGACAAACTTATAACCCCAAATCTCTGCATAGATCTCTCTTCCTCATCCCTTCAGGTCTTTGCTCAAATGTAATGTTCTCATTGAGGCCTTCCTGACTACCCACTTCAGGCTGGGAGTGATGGCGCATGCCTGTAATCCCAGCACGTTGGGAGGCTGAGGCAGGAGGATCACTTGAGCCCAGGAGTTTGAGGTCAGCCTGGGCAACATAGTGATACCCCATCTTAAACAAACAAAAAAACTGTAACATTTCCATTCCCGCCCCAGCATTCTATAATCCCCTTCACAGCCTTACTTTTCCTCCATAGATCACCCTCTAACATATTATACATTTTACTTAGAATTAAGTTCTGAGAGCAAAGGTTTGTTTATTTTGTTCACCGCTGGGTCCACAGTGCCTAGAATACTGCTGTTCATACAGATGTTCAAGAAATAATTACTGAATGAAGGAATGAATCTTTCAGGCCTCAGCTTGGGTGTTTCTCTCCTTTCTCTTACTTCCTGTGCCTTGATTAGGGGTTCCATCTCTAGGCTTTCATGCATCCTGTATTTATCCCTATTAAAGAACTACTGATCACAACGTACTGTAGTTTTCCTCTCTACATACTTGTCCTCCTGCATATCTAATCATGTTGATTCCACAAAGACAGGGAGTGTTTCTCCTACTTCCTAGTGCGATCTGGAACCTAAGACTGCTTAGCACAGAGTAGATACTTAGTGTCTTTTGAATAAACCAGTTTGGGTGGTGGTGGTGCGGTATCCCTGAATGAGAGTGGAGGATGTGGCTCCTTGTCAGTTCCTGAATAGGTCTAGACCCGGCAGTGGGAAGACTATTGACTGGAATGAGCTGTGGGCCTTTAAAATAACCTCAGGATTACACTTGGGAACAACCCAGCTCCATACACTAGTGAGCCCCAGGCAGGGAGGCATGTAGGACCCCCCCAATAGCGCTTTCTCCTTTTCCACTCAGTTAGCTGACCTTGGGGTAGGATCATCAGATAAAATACAGGACATCCAGATAAATTTGAATTCAGAAAAACAATGAGTAATTTTTTAGCATACGTGTCTCATTGCAATATTTGGGATAGTCTTATACTAAAGCATTACTCGTTGTTTACGTGAAATTCAACTTCAACTGGGCATCCTGCATTTTATTTGCTAAATCTGGTAACCCTATTGTGGCAAGTCCCTGTATGCTGCATGTCCCTCTCTGGGTTTCGCTTTCTCCATCTGTGGAATGGGCACAGTTCTGTGAGACTTGCCTCAGGGATTCCTCAGGCGGAGCAAATACCCTCAAGGATCGTCCCTTTGTCCTGGTGAATCGTATGGGAAGCGCGCGTGTCTGAGGAGTTTCTCGCTGTGTAAATACGAGAAGCTCCTTCCTCCAAAAGCCTCCGTTTTCTCATCTGAGCACATGAAACCCTCAGAGGTGGAAACGATTGCCTAGCGGAACCACGACTGCTCAGCTTCCAGCCACCGGAACCCCATCTCACCTCCCCCATCCCTTGAGGCCACGAACTTCCGGTAGCGAAAAGTCACTTCCGTATTCAAGAGCCTCCTAGGCTTCGAGCCTTGCGATGTCTCGCCCTCTGGCGGCTGGGAGGAGGGAACGACTTTACCAAACAGTGAGAAGGAACAGGGAAGTCCATTGGTTGAAAAACGGAGAGGCACAGCTCCGTCTTCCAACCTCCACCAATGTTAAACCGAACCTTCGCCGAGGGCGGGGCTCTCACGGGAAAGGGGTCAACCCGGGACGGAGGCGGCGTGGGAAGAGGGCGACCTTGTCTCTGCTCAGCTGGAAAAAGGCCCGGCGTGACACCGGCAGTGGACTCCTTTGCGCATCAGCTACTTCCTCTTCTACTTGAAAAGGAGGATCTGGGTAAAAGAACCGAAAGGCTGTAGAAACTTAAGACTTGTCTCTGATGTCCTTCTCAACCCTCCATTCATATGTGAGGGAAAACACCTGCTGGGTTCACACAGAATATAAGGGACTTTGAAATAATTCTTGATCTTTAAGTCAAGGAGTTTTACATTTTAAAATAATCAAGCGTGCCTACTGCTTGCCAGGCCCTGCCCTCGCCTTCACTCGCATTATTCAATTAATCGACACAGGCCTGTGCATTGTGTCTTATGACAATGACCCTGACCCTCCACTGCCTGTGTTGGAATCCTAGTTCTGCCAGTTATTAGCTGTGTATCCTGGCCCAAGTTACTCTCTGCTACAGTTTCTGACTCTGTAAAATGGGATAATAGTACCTACCTTATACCATTGTTCTAAAGATAAATAACATATTTAGGCTGGGCATGGTAGCTCACACCTGTAATCCCAGCACTTTGGGAGGCCGAGGGTGGAAGGATTGTTTGAGCCCAGGAGTTAAAGACCAGCCTGGGTAAAATAGTGAGACTCCCTGCCTCTCCAAAAAAAAAAAAAAAAAAAAAGTAAAGTTGGCCAGGCTAGGTGGCAAGCAGCTGGGGTCCCAGCTACTCTGGAGGCTGAGGTGGGAGGAGCATTGCTTGAGTCTGGGAGGTCGAGGCTTCAGTGAGCCGTGACTGGGGCACTGCACTCCAGTTTGGGCAACAGAGACCCTGTCTCCAAAAGAACAAAAAATTTAACATATTTAAAGCACTTGGAACAGCACCTGACACATGGTAACCACAGTAACCAGGTAAGTTATTTTCATTTACAAATTAGGAAATTGAGGCTTACATATGAAGTAACTTGTCTAGAACAGATAGCAACTAGTGGAGGCAGGTTGGGAAAAGTCTCTGCCTAATCTGAGGGGACTTCTTAATCACTATACCCGCCCAACCCTCTTCCTGTGTCTACAGGAAACCTGTGATGATCCTAATTGCCTTTAAAGCATCATATATATTTATTTGGTAGCACCCTATTACCAAGTGGCTGCTCTCTGGGCATTTTTGTAATTTTAATGAAGTTGGTAAGGTTCTATAACTTGTCTCTCAGATCAGGGGCAAGGCTTCTGGGAGAAGTCAGAATGAATGGCTTCAAGATCTACCTCCTGCTAAATCCTACTTATAGAAAAACCAGTAGAAATGAACTTCTGAACATGTTAAATTTGAGATCTTGTCAGATATCCAAGTGGAGATAATTGTGATTTGATGTGGTAAGTGCTGTGTTAGTGGAAAGCACAGGGCACCAAGGGAGGTCTGATTAAGGACAGATAAAACTGCTGGCCAGGATTAGGACAGGCATGGCAG